GATTAGACATGTTTTTTATTGTTATTGTCATTAGTGATTATCTCAATTTTGGCTAAAATAATTGACAAAATCCTACACACTGTGCCATTAAATAAAATTTTAAGTATGATGTAAACAGATACATTTCTGTAGTCTGTAAGTTTAAGTGTTCAATAACTTTAACATAACATAAACAACCGTAACTGGGGCAGTTTTTTGAAAAACATCTGTACTTTTTAATGAGGAATTCATAACACATCACTGAAAATAGCAATGATCCAAATATGAGGGAATGTTATTTTCAGCAAACTTGGGAGTTTTTTGTGTTTAGATAAACTCAGTCCTATTTTGAAAAAAAAGTGGGTCAGTTTATAAGATACACGTTATTCCCACGAGTCCACTGAATAGAAAATAAACAAAAACATATTGGGTTTTGAATCTGCATTTCACAAGGATAAAAAAATTTAACTATCCAGCTCATTATGGGGATAACACAGTGACCAAGGCCAGAGAGGACATATAATACTGTCAGCGAGTTCTTGGATTTCCACTTTCAGTTAGGATTGGGTGGTATTGATCTTTTACCGAGTATTATCTTTAGATAATACCATGACACAGAGTATTACCAGAATTGGGTGGAAAGGGGCGGGGCATGGGGGATGTATGGTCTGAATTGAGTTACTTTCTCCCGCTCTCGCAGTCATTCCATCGCCACCAAGCTTCATTCAACTTTCATGTCTTTTTATTATTTTCTTCCTGTCTGTTTTTTGGCACTTGTCAAATAACTTTGGGCTTCGGTCGGAAAGAGGTCGGGGGACTTTGGGTTTTTTTGGCTCGAGAAAAGGATGAGACTGATGGCAAATTGAGTTGTTTTTTTTTCCATCCAACTATCATGTTTCCTTCTGCCTGCKCCTGTAATGCTCATCAAATAGGAGGGTCATGTTTAGAAAAAAAAGTGGCGTATAACATTTATCATAACTGGTTTTATTTGGCCTGATAAAACAAAGTAAAAACTGGTGAATAGTTTGAAGTCTTAGAGACGACATATCTTTCCGGCTAGAGCAATGTAAATATGGCATTCTAATCAAATGCCTGAACCACCTCAGTGGACTCCTTTTGACGTGGAGGAGCAGCAGCTTTATGAGTTCTTCCTGAATGATGGACTGCCTTCCTCTGCGACTAAAGTTGAGCCCAATCACCCTGCAGAGGGAGCTCATTTCAGCTGTTTGTATCTGGGATTGTGTTCTTTTGCTCATGATCTGGATCCCATGACCATGGCTAAGGAGTGGACTATAGATATTAGCATTTCAGCTCAGCTCCTTCTTCGCCTCGACAGACTCCAACAATGACTTATTACTGTGAAGCCCAGCTCTATGATCCTTCTCCTGCTGCATGCTGCCATCAGTTTTCAGTTCTTTATGTTAGACTAACAGACTATGGCTGTGTGCAAAACGGCAGGCCGGGTCCTCCGAAGACCGAATTTGTAGGCCGCATACGTCACAGCGCCGCGACGAAGGC